TTCACTAGATTCTGAGGTATGTTGCAACAGGAAGACAGCATGAGTCTGCGATTCAAAGAATTTAATTTTCAAATAGCAGAACCTGAAGCGTAGTGCTACAGATCCTCTTAGCCAAGCAGTGCTTCAGCAATCAGACTAAAACATGCCAAATTGGACTAAAGACTGTCGCAGTGCAGGCCTGACTTGTCCCCTGCAGTAGCTTGCAGCACCTGATCCGTGTTCCCATTGGGTACCAGTGTCAGCATGCTGACAACCCGTGAGGGAGGCACACTATTGGCTACCCTCTCAGATAAGAGGTTTCCTTATGTTTCCTCCATTGTTCCTGGTCACTGAGCGCAGTGAGGCTCCAGCACAATGGGGGGGGGGCATCTTCTTCCCTTGGCCTTTGGGGTCGATGAGTTTGCCGGGCTTTGCAGACCGCCAGCTACCCCTACTGAACGAGGCCAGCCATAGTCCTGGTTCACTGTAAAACTCCCTACTGACCCCCCCCCACCCCCACCCCACGTGAGTCATAGGCACATGCTAGCATGCAGCAGATGTTGGGGATCGGGAAGGGATTGCGTAGGGTGGGGGGTCACAAGGCAGCACGCACACATAACATGAGATGTTTGTTTACCAGAGAACCCAAGGCCTAGCTGAGGAACGTCCAAAAGCTCCCCCTAACCCACCCCAGTCCAGGGCTCCATGGGAGCTGTGAGCAGACCTGAACCCAGCTGCCATACCTGCCCCAACCCCACTGGCTTAACCATCCCAACTTGCCCTCCTAACCCCACCCCTGGAAGAGTCTGTACAACAAGGCTCTGCTTCTTCACTTTGGAAACCTCTACGCTATCCGCCCCCCCCCCCCCCCCCCCCCCCCCCCCCCCCCCGTCCTCTCTCATGCCATGTGTGTTTCTCCTGACGGCCATGGAAAAAAAGAGGGAAAAAAAAAAAACAACGAGGAACTTAATAACAAGCCCAGGAATGAGAGCGTATGAGTTCACGGAAAACGCTGCCTGCCGTTTCGGTTCCATTTGACATTTCTGGGCGCCGGTTCAGCTTTCATATTTTATTCCTATTGTCCAAAGTATTTTCCAGTTCCTGTCTCCTGGCAGCCCCACGCCTCTAGGATGCTGCTGCCAAGCTTGTAAAAAAGCCAGCTGCAGGCGGGGATAAAAATAATTAGACCTCTACTTTTCTTCCACAGGGAGGCCGGCAAACCGATGCGAGCGGGGAAATAAAACGCACTCCCGGCTCACCAGCTCTCCAGAACACGCAACAGGCTAGATGGAGCATGACTCGTGTGGTTTGGGCCTGCGCTAAGTGTGCAGAACATCCAGGCTGCATGCGGCCGGGCCCAGAAACCAGCACCCACGACGCATCTATGGTGCCGAAGGCTCTCCCACGGCCTGAGAGAACACGAGCCTCTGCTTCACATTTTCGCTCCCCTCCTCGTCGCTGGGGAAACACCGCGGGGCGTCGCCATGGTCTCCCCAGCGACGTTGAAACCATGGCAACCGGACCATGTGGTAGTAACAGCGGGGACTCTGATGAATGGGAGCCGGGGAGCAGACGCGAGTCAGCGCGCAGGGTACAGTAAATGCGCTGACTCAGCAACCGCTGCAAACGGCTCTCCTTCCGCATCCTGCACGCTATGGCGGCGTCTGGGCGCCACAGTACGAAGACATAACACAGCACCAAGGCGGCGGCAGCCCTGACGCAATCTTACAGCGGTGTGGGGGTGGGGGGCTAGGGCTCAGCAATTATTGCACAGATTAGTCTTTACCAGAAACCTCTACACAGGAGCTACACCTGAGGCTGCAGTGTATCGCATGTTTCCTAATGACCTTGTGTGAAAGGATATGCAAGGGGAGGGCCCTATGGGTTAGTGATTTGCTGGTAGGCAAATGCATCCCCAACAAAAGAGTCTGAGCTTGTCCTTCCATTCAGTTTACGGAAACACCCTGTCAGACAATTTACATCTTCCGGCAACTGGGAATGAAGCCACTTCTTGGGCTAGTGAACGCAAAAAAAGTCATAGCTTCAGCATACTGAAATATTAAATGCAATTAATTCCCAGGGCAATGGCATTTGTTATGGTGTGATGGCGGCTCAGCAACATGCCGGGAATTGGGTATTGCGCAATCCCCCCCCCCCCCCCCCCGTCACCCCTATAAACGGAAGATGAGAGCGAGCAGTAGCGGGACAGCGCACTTTGACCTCCCCCGTGCCTGGCCGTCCTCCACCGGCAGCTGTGTCTTAGATGCGCCACACTAAGCCGTGATGAGATAGGTCACAGGCCAGACAGATAATCTCCCCCACGGTGACCAGCCCCACCCCCGCAGCCTGCTCCCCCAGATCGTTACCTACATGCTGGAAACCCCCGTAAGCGCACACACACACGGGAAACTGCTGGCGTTTACTCAGCGATGTCACCGGGGCAGGTTGTATACCCATGGCTTAGTTCAGAGCTGAAGACCTGGGCTCCGGTGCCATCCATGTTGCAGCGTGACGCCCCCCACTGCAACCCCCCCACCCCCGAGGCCCAATAACGTCCAGCCGTGTGTCCAAAAGCAGCCGGCCACTCCACGCAACTGACGCCGTCAGCTGTTGGCGGTGAAAGGCAGGAGGGCGGGCGGGCAGCCGTGCGACACGGGAACCGGCCGAGGGTGAAATTTCACTCCCGCCAGCCAGGCCGCCATCTGCACCGGGCTGTCGCCCGGAGCCCAGGCAGCCTACGTGACCTTCACAGGACACACATCACTCACCACCGCCCCACCCCCCCCTGCCAGCTCGCCCAAACACACCCCCACACTGTCAGCCCTTTCCCGCCTAGGGGGGGAGCAAGTGGCATGGCAGTAAAAAAAAGAAAAAGAAAAAAACTGGGACTACAACCAGAAGAGTCTGCAGGTTTAAAAACGAGGACAACTGCCATTTTATCCTTGAACGGGGTGCTGATCCTGACTGGCTGCAGCATAATGAGGAAAAAAGGACAAATTAGGAGCTAAAAGCAAGAAAGGGAGCGTATTAATAATACATATAAGCAATCAGATTTTGGCGAAGGAGCATCCAGACCCCCCAGCCATTTATGACGTGTCCAGGACTGGGCTGAGAGTTGTTGTTTCCTTGAAGATGGGAAGCTGAGCAGATAAGAGGAGCTCAAAGTGACAGGACACATCAGATCACCCACTGGCACCGTTTGACTTCTGCTCTCGACATCTGCCGCGCCCGACCCTACCCCCGCCCCCTGCCCGTGATCCCCAAACAAGGCTGGCGCAAATCAGCATGCCTGGGCCTCAGTGTTTTTTGTTTTTTTTTTTGTCTTTTTATATCTATTTCACAACCGTCAAAGGTTGCTCAAGAGTGATCTCCATCCGACTGCGTCTCTGTTTGCGCCGGACAGGGTTTGACTGGGTGGGGGGTTGCTTTTTTAACCTCTTATTATAGGGAACACGTTACTATACAACATCAACGGCGACCACACCTGACTTCGGAACTGCTGACGGTCCCAGTCCAGGAAAATGTAAAATCCATTTCAAATACTGAACAGAGAGTTATTGTGGGGACGACATTATGTTTTAATTATTTCCTGAGAAATATCTCCCCTCACAGCCAAGCCGGCGGTCCAGCCACACTGGGCTCCCGGCCGGGACAAGACTGGGGCTACAGACAGCACTTTCCCTAATTGGTAACGTTTGCGAGACTCACCTTGTCTGCCAGAAAAGAGGGGGCTGAAGAAGTGGTTTAAATTTACAGTACAGTGAGTCACCGGCGGTTAAAGCGTTTCCAGGTGCTGGCGGGATTTCGTGTCCCTGCTGTCAACGTCTGAACAGTCGGTTACGGGAAAATATTTCACCTAGCGTCCACATGAAATTCTCCACTTTTTTAAGTAAAGTCATTTTATTGTCATTTCCTCTTGCTTACATACCAACTTTATAGATCTCTGTGTGATAAAACAGCGTGATAAATATAAGGTTTGATCATTAAAAACAAACGTGCACTTTAGGAAGTTCGGTGTAACTTGCTTTACTGTTGGGCGATTTTCCACGGAGTGCTACTGCCACCTTGTGGTTGCGGTGTCCAGGGGCCTCCATCCATTGGTAATCACGTGACACTTTATTCGATACATATAGCTAGTACTGGGTAGGAGCCACTATTACCTCCAGAACCGCTTCAAGGTCAGACGAGATCACAGAATTCGGAGAAGACATCCTGTGCACCAGTGTTGTATTGAGCTGCACTTGTGTCTCTCCTGTTCACTTTAACAAACCATTCGCTGACCTAATTAGTGCAAGTTGTTTTTGGGAAACATCATTGGTTGAACCTTTATGTTTGACACACCATTCTTTGTAAACTCTAGTCACCACCCCAGGAAGACGTTTCTTTATGTGATGGTGGAACCACCATGCCCCAAATGTTATTGAAAGCCTGAGTTTTTTTTTTTTAATCACCATAACCATGTCACGTTGCATGACAATTTTGTCATTAAGTCCTGGACATCCTCTGACCCTAGAGCCACCCCTGGTTATTTTGCATGCTGTATGTATTCAGTCGCAGACGCGTGATTCGGCATTTGAAGCAGCGGGCTTTTCAGCATTGACAAGCAGGTGTATTTAATAAAGCAGCAATTGAGTGTAAATGCAACAAAACAACCTCTAAAACAATTGGAACATTGCTAAAAATAATACTAATTTTTAAACCCTTCATTAAGAGTTTTATTGTTTTAATCCAGGAGCTGGCAGTCAACCCCAATAAAAATTATGCAAATAGACACCATTTATGGTATATTGTACAATTAAAATATCATATACCAGTTTTCCTAATCCAGTCTTTCGGGAACCTCAGCCAGTCCATGTTTTTGCTCCCTCCAAGCTCCCTGTCAGACAGTCCACAAGGACCAGACTGGGAAACACTGTTGAATACAGTTGATTTAATTGATGCCACTGTCACGCTTGAGGCTGCACCAATCAGATCAGATACCTTAGAGTGAAGAAACTCAGACAGAGGGGACAGGAAATGACTGGTGTTAAGTTGTTTTATCCAATATTTTATTATAACGGTTTCATAAACAGAACACTTCAGGAGGACTGGAGTTAATGGTTTAAAAAGACACTGAAAAGGTGAGCCTGCCCCACCTCCCCAATCAAACTCACTCTTCAAAAGGTAAGAGCCATTGAGATGAGTTACAGTAGAGCTGGCATGTGTTATCAGCCCATTCAAACCCACAGTGCACAGAATACAAAGGAATTCCAAGACACATCCGGCTGTTACACACATTTGCTGTATTTCATCCATAAAAATCTATGGAACTTCTAAACAGTCTTGCTGTGACTCTACAGCGACCTCTAATGACCATCATGGGCTGCTTATTTAGTGCATATTACAGACTGCAAGAAGAAAACAAAACAGGGGGAGCCGCGTCACTTGCACCTTCTACCTTAATGCCCATGTGTTGTGGGATGAAATCCACAGTGTGAGAAACGTGCCTGTTTGTCATCTTTCTTGGTTATTCTGTTTCATGTACAGGTAAGTTAGCTATGGATGATGTACAAATACAGAACAAAAAAAAACAAATGGCAGGAATAATTTTGGTTAACACATTAGTAAATCCAAGAGGTTTTAAATGCAAAAACTCTAGGACTGGCAACAAAAGGAACCAATATGGCCACACATTCATTTTAGAAGTAGGGTCCTGGGGGGACAGTGGGGTGGGGAGGGGACTGGCTTACTCAACATCATCCTCAGCCAGGCTCTGCATATTGATGATCTTCTGGAGGAGGAGAACACAGGATGATGGTGAATGAGAACTGCCATCGGTCAAAGGTGACTAAGATGCAGTAAAACCACCAGCCCAGTAGAGGGCACACGTGAGCCTAACCAACATTTCAAGTACATGGCAGGAAAATTTGTCAAAAAAAAGTCAATGAATCATTTATTAAAATTACATTTGAAATTTAAAATATATCATTTTGGAATATGTAAATTACATGATAACATGCCACAACAAAAAAGTAGGTATAATTTTTGCTTGTACATTGTCCCGGAAGTATGAACAACTGGATAGTGGAAGGGTCAATGGTAGCGACTTTGTTACAAGAGGTTCCTGAAGTCCTACACTGAACCTCACAGAACACTAACTGTGACCTTACCTGACTTATGGTGGGCAACTTTGTGAGGAGCATCTGAAACACAGGTGGGGGCAGGGTCTGCTGCAGGACCTGAAGGAGCTGCTGGGGCTGTCCACACACGGCGATGGCGTTGGTTAGGTGCTCCACACCAGTTTCATAGTCCCCTGTGGTGGGTGGGCAGGAGAGAGTAGGCAGCATGTGGCTCAGAAATAAACAGGATGGACACCTCAAGAAGAATTTATGTTCCCAAACTGCAACCCACACCTTTCTAATTAATGTTTACAGATAATGTAATGAACCCACATCCAAGACCTTAAATGGAGAATGTTCCAGACTAGCAATGAAATAAAAACCCGACAGGATATTATTGTAACTATCATTCTTGCACCCTTGTTTGAAAAGCAAAAATTAGTAGCCAAGTACTTTTCCTAAGAAACAATTACTTTTAATTTGAGGTCTGGAAACAATGGCACATTATTCCGTGATCCACAGTTCACGCTGCAGATGATACGTTTTCGCTGTAGTAGAAGGCATACCATGAGCCAAACATTCCTCTCCTAGCTGGATTTCATCCAAGAAGAACTTCTGGATCTTCTCAGGGTCCTTCAGGTCCAGCACCTGAGGATCCCCACAATGGCACACTGGATTAGCCATATACAACATCTCCAATAGACACAACATAACAAACAGTTATCTTCAGTTGTCAATAAATTACATAAATTTGCATATTCATGATTCTATATTTTGAAAAACATATAAGGCAGATTGAACTTCACAGAAGAAAGGCGCCGCCACTTTACTGGTTTGGATTGAAGCATTTCAAGTTTACAATGAAGTTAAAAAAAAAAAAAAAAAGTACCTTTGACAGATCTGATTTTTCCTCTGCAGTCTTCTGCTTTCGTCGTCCTAAGAAATAAACATTTAAAAAAGAAATCAATTCTAACAGTTCTAAAAAGATTCACAGAGATCAAGTCCAGATTTATCAGACCCCCTTAAGCAGGGATGTCAAATTCCAGTCCTGGAGGGCCGGAGCCCTGTGTAGCTTAGTTCTTTCCCTATTCCACCAAAATGATTCAGCTCAAGAGTTGTGTGGTAATTAGCACAAGGAGTTGAATCAGGTGTGTTAAATGAGGGTGAATCCAAGAAATGTGCAGGGCTGATTTTGATACCCCTGCCCTAAAGGATGGCGCAAGTCAAATATGCAACAAATCACGGGGCAGGTTTTCTGTAATATACGTTCGTTATAAAACATGTATCAGGTACAAGTTCAGGTACGTTACATTTCTGGACGAAGCTAATGTGTCCACGTACCCTCAACATTGGCCTGTCGTCTAATCTTTGACAACTAATACAACTAGTAAAAATGAAAATCCTTACAATCAGATCCGTATTATAAAACTAACTGTCATGTATATTAACCACACCGGCCTACTTTAGCTTTTCAATGCTAACGATCCCTTGTTGTTTTAATGCAATAATTCATAACTGGAGTTGTATGCAACAGAACAGGCTGTTGGGTATCTTGATAACTTCTTGCCTGAAAGCAAGGAATTGATTCACGATAGCCGAATCCTGACTTGTGCCCACGTTACAGGCTGTAATGATATAAGCGACCCTCTATGAAGAATTTAGATGAGGAAAATCTCCAGAGTCCACCATCATTCATAAGCCAAACCATACAGCGAGGTGGCAGACATTCCACATCTTTATTTTGAGCACAGATATGCGACCCGAAACCCCCGCGGCGCGCTAGCCCTTACGCTCCCGCAGCTTCCTCCTAAAGTTAGGGTCGCTCCGTCGCTTCCTGTCGAAGTAGACGCAGTAGCCAATGAACAAAGCAGCGCATACCCCGGCGGCGAGGGCGCTTGTTCTGCTGCCCATCATCGCCTCCTAACAGCAAACCACTGCCGTTACATGGAGAGATTATACATCAAGCCGCTCCAAAAGCTTATTGGAAGCATATCGGCTGACCGAGTTCCTTCCGTGGCTTTAAAAGGACCCGAGAACATGACAGCTGTGCTGCCCTCGCTGATCGCCTGACGGAAAACGATGAAAATAACCAGAAATGGTTTTGTCGCATTCACCTTCAAATCTACGAATGCTTGCAAATTTAAATATGTTATATATAAGTATTTGTCCTTATTTTGTGACATATGTGGAACACATTTTTTTCCAAAAAATCATATGGATACAGCGGGCTGTTAACCTGGCTCCCATAAACATGTAAACTTTGTGTAGCCGCAGCCTGTTGCCCCGTTTACCGGCCTTACCGTAGGATGGGCGATGCCGCTAATTTGTCCTCAAATACCAAGGTTGGCATCGCCGACACCAAGTCTTTCATGTGCATTAAATGTGGCGAGATTGGCACTCCAGCCATGACAAAAACATCTCGCACAGCTTCAAGGCAGTGGACAGGCTTATGGGCATTCACATCTCAACTCAGCCAAAAAACAAACAAAAAAAAAAAACAAAACACAGTACCCAAGCCAGAGCAAAACATCCTAATGATGATCATACACTCACACAGATGTAGCCACGTGAAATTGTAACTCGCACACTTTCAACAAATGGTTGCATAATGGTCACAGTCTGGATGGTGCAGTTATGACTCACTGGGCTGGCTCCTTGGAGCAGATGTGTAAGGCTGGCCTTCCAGCTAGGAAGTTGGACATATCTGGGGCTACAGTTCTTTGGTCTGATCCTGTGATTAGCTGTGAACCACCCAGTCTCACTGAGAATGTTAGGGTGATAAACCAGCTAGAGGTACGGAAGGCTGCAGGGATCTGTGGTGTCCAGGGTGAACTTCTCCAAGCTGGACTGTCACTGTGGCAACTACAGGGGGATGACACAGTGCAGGTTAAGGTCCTTGCGAGGGTCATCTTTAACAGGATCCATGATCACGTGACTGGAGCAGTCTGTTTTTAACAGCTAAAAGACTCAAAATTTCTAGAGGTACCCCTGCCTAGATGCCTTTAACAAGGACAGAAAAGCAGCGCGCTACAGGCAGCATGTTAATGCCGACCTCGTAGCAGCGGGAGAATATCGTGGCGTCTACTCGAGCCAGACGTGGAGAAAGAGACAATGCGCTGGCAGCAAATTGAGCTCTATTACAGTGTCCTGAAAAGGACAGCCTTGTAATCACAAGCACGAATGAGCTCATACTTCAAATTATTTGTAACAGCATTCAACAGGTGCACACTTTTCTGAAATGCAGCCATCACAGAAATAGCCTACAAGTAAAATTAATGAGTGATTTGATTAAAGTACGAGTAGATGACAGAAATGCACTAACAGATTCAGAACATCTTTGTAGAAGCAAAACACATCTCTCACCTCCCTAAATTTTTTTTATTGTCAGTTATCACTCTCATCAGGTCCCCTAAATGCCAAACCCTGTCGGCCCAAAAATGAAATTGCATCAATCAGTTTTTTTTCGGGATCTTACCATTTTTCCTCACTGTGTAGTTGCGTTTGTCTTCGTCGATCAATCTGTCCTTACTAAAGTCGGCATTTTCAAATTGAAGAAATAAGGGAGGAAATAAGTGGCTCTCGCTTAGAGTACATCAATGCCTTGTCCATAAACCAAAAAGGAAAATTGCTCAAGAAATGGGTTCATTTTTGCCTGTTGACTCATATTCTGAATGGTCAGTCATTGGCGGATCAAGAAAGCACAAGAACAGGTGTAATAAAAATGACTAGGAGAGGTACTGCTATCGCACTTTTTTGGTTTCACATGGAAACGGTTGTTGTGATCATGTTTTTGCAATTGGCTTTTCGCAGAAACCATTTTAGATGACAAAACCAGAGCTAGCCCGCCCAATAGGCGACTTAGGCAAACAAAAAAATAAGTTGACTGCTGTTGCAACCAGTTTTTGCCTTTAAATTTTAGCTATGGAAAAATATGAATATTGCTCCTTTGTTTTTAGAAATGACATTTCCTTTAGGAGGACGGTACAGCTGTTAGCGCTGTCGTCTCACACCTCTGAGACCAGGGTTTCCATCTCCACCATGGCTCCATGAGTGTGGAGTTTGCATGTTCTCCCACATTTCCTCCAGGTACTCCAGTGTCCCCACCACAGTCCAAAAACATGTTGAGGTTAATTTCCAAGTTGCCCGTAGGTGTGCGTGCGTGACTGAATGGTGCGAGTGTGCGCCCTGCGATGGGCTGGTGCCCCATCCTGGGGTTCTCTCTGCCTTGTGCCCATAGCTTCTGGGATAGACTCCACACCCCCACAACCCTGAATAGGACAAGTGGGTGCAAAAATGGATGGATGGAAGTTTCCCTTAGGACAGTGTTTCCCCACCTTTTTTCTGCCTTAGGATACACAGCACATATAAATATAAAATAAGCAGCATTATTAGGATGTAATTACACTGGCTTTCAACATTTGAAGTGACCTAAATATGTGGAAAGTTACCTAAATATTATGCTGTGTTCTAGCACCTGTGGATGACTATGCTGGCCAGCACTAACGAAAACAAACAGCAGTAGACAAAGACCTTCACAAACTATGGTATTTATTTCAAACAGAGGCTTCTTTTAGCTTACATTTGTACAATAAATTACACAATGTCCATCCTTCGAGGAATCTAATAAATACTTTAGAGCTTTCACTGCACCCCTTCTCTCTGAACTTATTTGTAAAGATAAAACTTTACAAGCCCATGTACAGGTTGGAAAATACTTCTGAACTCACCTTCAAAAACACAATGCTTCATATATGACAGCAAACTAAAAAAAAATGCTGACTTTTCTAGAAAAAGTATGAAAAATAACTGGATAAAACTGTCCCACAGGGAAGGCAAAGACATAAAACAAAGGAAACATGCTTTAACCCTCTAAAGATGTACAGAGAAACTACAGTTAAAACAGTAAAAGTCTGTACAGAAAAATACACAGTATTAACAGTGCAACATATTAAATAGCTTGACTCCAAACACATTTTGATATACAAATGTATTACAAAGGCATACAATTACATAGTGCCAAAACCAAAAAAGGGCTTCGGTGTATCATACAACAGGGAGTCTGTACAGACTTGAGTTCTCTTAAGAACTGAATGCACCAATGTCATCCATCTCTGTTATAAATGCATGTTTGCAAAACTGTAACTTTTTACCTGATTGGAAAAACTCAAAGAAAAACAAACACACACACACACACACACACACACACACACACACACGCACACACGCACGCACAGACACAGACACAGACACACAGACACACAGACACTTAAGAGGGCACACCCCGATCAGACCTGTGAACAAGCTCATTGGTTGATGGATCCTCCAACGCACATACACACACACACACACACACACACACTCCGATAAGATGTAGCAAAGCAACAGCCAATGTTCCCAGTGAGATGTATCAGTACCAAGTGTACAGATGAACTTAGGTTTCCTAGGTTTAACAACATGCCTTTCATCGTTTTCCTCCCTTAAATAATCCTTTATTTTTTAAATCTGTACCCTCGCCAAGAGAATTCCCACAATTCATTCATGCCACCAGCTGCAGTAAACATCAGCTTCTGCATGATACTGATAAGACTGACTACACAGCTGTTTACCCACAACTCCTCCCTGCTGTGACAGATATCGGCCTGGCCAGTGTCTGAGTGTAATAATACACATTTGTTAGGCTGCATGAAGGCAAGCCAATAAGCAAAACATGGGGCGAAAATATCATTGGGAAGACAATGAAACTACAAAACTGGGGTCTTCATTTTAGGGTTTATACCGAACCGTGATTACGTTTATTTTCCACTGTAGTGCATTTACAGTCACTGTTAAGTGAGACATCTCTTTGAAAATCCCTCTTACTGGTATATTCATATTCAGTAGCAAAATACATTTACTCTCATTTCTTAAAGTGCAACTTTTTTCCATTTCTATTTCGAAGGTGAGCCTCATCACCAATGACCCTTTTAGGCATGTTCCGAGAGATACAGATCGCCACCGAATACTTTAAAGAGCCCTTTTCACATCTCTCAGCTGCTGACGCGAGGATCTTCTGTCATCTGTAAACAGGAAGTTAAATTCCTGGGAGTCTTCCGCCATCGCCGGACCCAACACGCTCACAACAGGACCAGGTGGACTGTGTCGTCTATCAAAGTGCCCGAGAAGAGCAACAAGGCACAAGAGTATCACTCTGACGTTCAGCTGACAGTGAGGTTACAGGGTACCTCTGTGGCTCAAGGTCTTACAGCTTTATTATTTTAATAATAATAATAATAATAATAACAACAACAACAGCCTCTATGGCCGGGTGGGGGAACACCACCCGGAATGTTTTGGGGGTATTCCTGTTCTTTTTTCAGCTCAGCTTTGCTTGATGGACATGGGGTGTACCTTTCACTCACAGGACACGGGGATGTTCAGAAGATAAGCTACTGAACAGGGGAAGGGGGCAGACTTTAGCGGTTACATTTAACGCGTCACAGGTAAACGCAAAACGTTACAGTTGATGGACACACTACAGGAAGGACCCCTCAGAATTCACTGACCGTACCCCTCCCCCCGACCTCAAAACACAAATCAAGGTGAAAACAATTATTGCTCTGAGAAAACAACTTAATGTCTTTATCACCAAGACACGGCAAGTCCATTGTTGCGTTTTCCCAGCTCCCTTCATGAAAGTGCACTTAAGTGCAGTTAGCTTGCCAAAAAGAAAAACAGTTGTCAATACAAAAAAAAATATATATATATATAGTGCCTGTCGTTCATTTGCTGAGTTTTCTGGGTCACCGGATGTTGTGTCACCTGCACTCCACCGACATCCCAGAGTTCTGTGCGGGCCCGGCCACGGGTGGGTCGGCCAGAGTCAGCATGACAGCCGCAGTCAGCGAGCTGGAGGAGGGTGACGAGGACGAGGAGGCGGCTACGGCACCTGGAGGACGCAGACACATCGGCGGGAAGCCACTTATCACCTTTGTCACCTTATAAATTTGTAATTAGGCCAAAAAATTCAGAAATAAAACATAGCTAGAGTGAAGGAAACACTGGTATATTACTGTTGGCATGCAGGATGGCAGAAAAACCTGGATGCAAGTTCTGATGGTAGCGGATTTCTACGTGGGCATCCAGTGTCAAACCTGGTTTAGCTAATTTTTAAGTATATAGGTATGTCACGGGTAAACAGCCTACGACGCGAAGCTTTTCACAATATAGCCTTTTCCCTTAAAACCTAAACAGTCAGGGAAAGATCTTGAAAGAATAGGCTATCCAGAGGAATGAAAAACAAATAAAAGTGATATGCGAAGAGCCAATCAGGACAGAGGAAGGGCGGATGACTCACTTTCTCGGTCCTTCTTCTTTAAACGCTTTCGCCGCCGGTCTATGGACGCCACCTCCGACTTGAGCGAGAGGTAGTGGTTGCGAATGTCCTGCAGCTTCTCCTGCAGGAAGGAGATCCTCTCCAAGCTGGTCATTTTTTCCAGGTCGGCTGGGGTGGAGGATAAGACACAAGTCACATGACTGCCCTGCCTCATCCTCAACTCTGCCTCTACCGGGGTACAGCAGTGAACCTTCAATCAATTGCTAGTCACTTTATGATTATGATCAAGTACTACATTTCCATCAAGAATTATTAAAGGGGAAAAAAAGCTACACACTAAACCTGACGTGATATCATTTGAGTTCTTTTGGACTTTGGTTCTGCCCGATCTTTGGCTTTGTAACTAGCAGATCCTGAAGCTCTAAAACACAATAAGTTTTGTTCTGTCTGACTAGCTGGGTACTGTGGGGGGGGGAGTGACACTCACACATCTGAAAGCTCCATTTGTACACACGTGGTGAGCGACTCTGAGGTTCCCGGTGCTGATGTTGGTGATCCGGATCCCCATGCTTGTGGTATTTGTGACCAGAAGGGGGCGTCCTTCCGGGAGCCTTTGAGGCGGGAGATTTGGCGCCGTTTTCATTGGTGGACTGGTCCTCACTGTCACTGCTGTGTGCTGTGGGCCAATGAGAAGGGAATAAGTATGATTGACACTGGTCTCCTGCCTATCAGCATGACTACAAAGTGCCACCAACTCCTTAGAGCCAATTAATACTCGACAGTTGCAATACACACGCTTAGGCCTGCTGCTGCTGAGTAAGCAGTGTCGCTACTCATACTTGCAGGTGTAGTTTACATCAATATGGAGAATTAAAAGTTATGTCCACCAGGGGACAGTAAGTGAAAACCAGCTTGGTCGCCTCCTTCATATCCAGTCGTACTTGTTAGTATGAGGTCGTGGAATAAAATTTTGAACACTTGCTGCCTCCACAGCGTATTGCTAATTTTGTTAATTTTGCATTTTTCTATATTCTATCTACTGCTCCACTTCGTACAGGTACTTTGCCGCTGGTCACTCGTTCTTAAAAATAAATCAGATGCTACTTTAATACTAAAACTGTCTCGTATATAATCACAAAGGCCCATGACAAAGGTTGACCATACTACCCCCAGGGTGAAGCGGTACTTCCTGGCGTAGGTACACAAACGAAACGCGGCAGCCATGACGCATAAGAGAACACCTTGGGCCTTGCAGCCATCATCCATCATCCTTTCCTCTCACCCGTTTTCCGGCCCTTCTTCGGATGCACGCTGGAGCTCTTGTGGCTGCGTTTGTGCCTCTTCACCGGGCCGCTCTCCTCTGCGTCCTTGTGGCGTTTCTGGCCCCCCGACGCCACTGGACACCGATGAAGATAATCCAAAGGCGAGACTGCGTCCCCCGCCACCAGCGAAGCGTCGTGCTTAGGGCTGCCGCGGTTAGTCGACGTACTCGACGACGTCGATGCTGAAAATGCGTCGACATCAGTATTTTAAATCAACGCATCGTTTTAAAATTATTTAAATCAAATTACTATTACGAATTCTAAAACGCTTCAATTCATTATAACAATTTTTTAACAAATGTTCAAATTATGACAAAGTCAGAGGTAAATCCAAGAGCATGATTCCACACTGACCTTTGACCTCTTGCTCTCCTTCCAGCTGGCTGCTGCTGCTGCTGTTGCAGGACAGGCTGCCATCGAAGGCTGTGCAGGGGGACCCGGCCCCCTCCTCCCGGGGCAACTCCTGCAGCTCCCCACCAAGGCTTTCCACCTCTACCGTGCTGTCCGTCTCGCTGCGCCCCCCCATGCTCTCCTCCTGTGTGGGCTGCGACGGAGACGGGACGGCGGGTGGCTCGGCGGCCAGTGGAGGCGGGGGTGGGGCGTGCTCCTGGGTCCGTTTGGGGGCCTCCGTGGTATCGCTACCACCATTGGCCGCCAGAGAAGGGGACTCGGGGGTGGTGGGGGGGGTGTTGAGTACAGAGTTGCTGCCACTGCTGGGAAACTCCTGGGTCCTCTCCGGCTCCTGCCTCTCCTCCTCCCCGGCCGGAATGTTCACCTGCCCCCGGTCGGCCTTTGGCTCCTCGGGTGCGGGGAGGGCCGCTGGGGGGGAGTTGGCTACCTCTGTGTCCGAGTCGGAGAACAGCTCCTTCAGTTTTTTCTTGGGCCACTGGCCCTGGATGCTAGACCAGACATCCTTCTGGCCCTTAGGCCTGCTCCCGGCGGAGACCCTCTCGTCTGTACTCTGTGACACCTTGGCCCGCTTCTCCGGAACCTCCCAGAACCCAGAGGGACGGCTGGCCTTCACCTTCTCTTTTAGGCCATTGTATTTCTTGGATGGTGAGACCTTGGCTTTGGGACGAGCCTGTTCCCCATCTTGGGCCTCACAAGGAGCAGCCCCCTCATCCTCTGAGCTACTACTTATGCTGGATGTAGCATCCCCCTCCTCTCCGGGAGCTGCAGTACTGTCCTCGAGTCTCTTGGGGGAGCCAGTGGGCAGCCACTCCACAGTCCGGCCCCTGGCACTGCTCTTGGAATGACTCCGCTGTAGATGTTCCCCAGGGTTCTCTGCCTTCCGTTTCCGGGTGCAGATCTCGGCTTCCGGTCCAGGAGAGCCAGCTGGTCTGCACCCTTCCTGGGGGGGCCCGCCCGCCCAGGGCTCAGAGTCCTGCAGGGCCTCCTTCCCGTCTTCCTCCTGATTTGCTTCCTCATCCTCTCGGTCGCTCTCATCTGTTGAGATTCCAGAGGCTACAACAGATGTACATTTAAAAAAAAAAATACATTAAAAACCATCATCAAGCGACTCAAGCTGGCCCTCTTCCCGTGCCTCATTAGACATATTTCCACCGCGTCCGGCCATGGAGATTACCGTGCAGCCCGTTGGAGGCAGAGGAAGTGTCGCCGCCCTTCGCCGGAGATGAATCCGCCCCTTTCTCAGAGTTGGCTTCTGGCTTGGAGAAGCCATCGTGGGCGGCACTGGGCTTGGGGGAGCGATGGGATCGGTTGGGCTTGGGGGGAACGGAGTCCTCCCTGTCGGACATTCTCTCCAGCCTGTCTCTTTCACTTTTGTTCTGTTGAGGGTCCCATGGAGGGAGCAGACGCATCAGGTCCATGACCAACCGAACGGCTGACTGATATTTTGTTGAACATGCAAAATAAACCCTTTCATTAAAATGAAAGTCTACCTCTAGGCGGCCTACCTTGATTTTTTTCCGGTGCTTCACTTTTGGCACATTCTTATTGGCTGGCCGCACTATCTTGTCTGCCTTTATCCATTCGTCATATCTAATTGGAGGACAGAAGGCACAGGATGGGATCAGTCAACACGACAAAACATGCTCCGTGGCGGAAATCGACCCATGCATCAAATTCAAGTACATGCAATCAAACTTGTCACACGCCAAGGAACACAATCAAGTGGTTCAATGGTCCAGTCCAGACCACTGAGCACTTGTGAAAGGAACGAAAACATGTCCGGAACAGCGAGTCACCTAGCTGTTAAGGAGCTGTATAAGCAACCAAAAGTTTGCCAATCTTTAAAAGGGACCTTCATTTGTACCTTGAAAGTAGGACAAGTAAACAGTAAGGTACCCACCCACTCAAAGGAAAAAGCGCAATAAAGCTTTTACCCTAAATCTTTTTAGGAGTTACGTATAGGAAAGTCAGATTTTATAACCTCATTTGGTCAAACCGCTAAGACCAGAAAGACCAAGACAACGACAAGACAACAAAGCAGCGAAGCCAATTCCCAGCAATACTTCTGAACAGAAGCAGGCAGCGTAACCGAATCAGAGAGAGACAGCTGACCAACAGACAGCGCACATCACACAGCCTCGCCTCGCCTCCAAGTCATCTGCCAAGACACAAGTACTGCCTCTAACTATGTGAAAGGCGTGAAGGGTGGCCTCTCTGTACAGAACTGCGGAGAAATGCTCAAATGGAGTGAAGCTTTCCTTATACAATGACAACTGAAGGGGTCAAGTGAAAGCATCACGATTTCTTAATGAAGATGAAGAAAAAAAATAATGATCCACCAGTCAGCCATTTTTCAATGTTCCTTTTTGACCAGTAGAGGGCAACAGGGATTAATTTCAGCCTGCTTTCAGTAGGAAACGAGGAAGTGCTTAAGGGAGGTGTGCAGTGACTCGGTGATACGGCGG